TTATAATTTTTTTCATATACAAGAATTAAAAAATCTTAATAAATAAAATAAAATCTACTAATTTTAATATCATTAGATTTATATTCATATTGTATCATATCATACTATCTATCAGGTACTATTAAATTACAATATAGAATCTTTTTTAAATTATTATAAGATGTGAAATATTTTTTTTATCTTTTATTTGATATTTTAAAAAAACTTAGAGCATATATATAATATGAAACAATATGAAATAGTATAAAAAAAGAATGTTTAATTTATTTTTTATATTAAAAATTTATCTATATAAATAATATAATTACGAAATTTCATTGAAAAATAAAAACTTATTTAGAATATTTTTTGTATTATATTATATAACTTTATATCACGCGTTTATCATTAAATTTATACAAATATATAATAATTGTGATATGCTTTTTCTATAATTATTTACAGTACATAAAAGTATATCTCTTAAAACAGATATCATAATTGATAAATTTTTTAATTGTCATTTCATGATTTTATAAAAAAAAAAAATCATGGAATATATTAAAATATTATACTCTTTAATGAAAGGGACATTTTAAATTACACATAGTAAAAAAACAGGTATATTTTCTGTATGATATTTTGTCAATGATGATGTCCAGTTGTAATTAATGCAGGTAAAAAAGAGCCTAATACTAGAACTAATATTTCTTTAACTTTGAGTCCAGAAGAAGATACTGCAACGTTTTCAACAGATGGCAGATGAGTATAGTTGCTATTAGTTCTTGTCATTAGTTCTGGTAGAACATGCACAGTAGCAACATATAAAAATGTACCTGCACTAAATAACATTGCTACTCCAGTTGCATTTACATTACTAAGTGTTTCTTTTCCTTCCTATAAAAAAAAATATAAATTTTATATTAGTGCTTAAGAAATATTTCATTAATTTATATAACTTTGAAATAATTTACCTTCCCAATACCAAAATATGTTACAAGAGCAAGACAAGGAGCTGCTAAAGAAAATACTAAAAGATGTCTACCAATTTTTTTTCTATCTACTCCTTCATGTAATAAAAATGATACTAGACCAAATGCTGCAGGTGCCTATAAAAAATTTTTTGATTTAATAAAATTTATTCATTTAATAATTTAAATCTCTGTGACATTCTTATTCTTAGATACAAAATGATATTCAATTTATTTTACTTACTTTATGTAACATTATTGCTAAAAAAACAATTAATTCTACATCAGCTTGTGATGTAGTTGCAGCAGCTCCTAATGCCACTCCATCAGCAGCTGCATGAACTACAAGACCTAAAGTAGCAGTAACACTTCTTTCTCTCACTCCACTTCTTCTAGCTGAACACTGATCAATCAGTAACATAAATACAAAACCAAGTATTAAACTAATGCCTATTAAAGAATGAGGATCACCTAAAAATAAAAATCAAAAATATTAAATTATATTTAAATAAAATCAAATTAAATTAAAGATTTTTTAAATATTTTATTTTAAATATTAATTTTACTAAAATTGATATATATAAAGATTATCTCATGTAAAACTAAAATATGACAAATATATATATTTTTTTAATTCATTAATTTTATTATATAATGTGTTTATCAAATTTTATATTAATTCTATAATAACAATTAATAAATATTTCTTTAACAAATTAAATAAAAGATTCATTCATATATTTGAATATAATAAAATCCAAAAAAATTTGTTTTAAGTATAAAATAAAAAGTTCATAGCAATTTAAAAATATAATTGATTTACATAAATTTAAACACAAAAAAAAATATAAACTATGCATAGTTATGAAATAATATATTATATGAAATAATATATTATTATGAAATACTAACTATAAACTCCTTGATCATTATTACTTCCACCAGTAAATAATGCTCTTATACCTTCAGGTATAATCACAGCTAGTGCAGTGCCTACAAGAAGTCCAGCACCAAGTATTGAAACCAGTTGTAATTTATCCTAGAAAGATTAAAGGTTCATGATGTTCATGATCATGGAGTTCTTTGTAGAATCTGTAATCAGTAGTTTAAGTATATGACAATCATAGAAAATGATAGATAAAAAAATTGTCTTTTCATCTATCGTCAAATGAAAAGAAGATTACCTCGGATAAATTCATGACTAATGGTAAAGATCCAGTTATACAGGAACCAATTAACATTACCAGTGAAAGCATCCATAAAACTGTACTTTCTTCCATTTTTTGAGATGTGTTTTTTAAATAAATAAAAAGTATTCACTTTGTTCAGGTATTATTTTCTCATTGTTATTTAATATTAAATAATCAGTTATATTATATTTATTGAAACAATTTTTTTATTATTGCATTTTAACTAGAATGCACTTTCTGATAACGTTCAACAATCTGTTTTCGTCTACGTAGCAATTTCGCGGTGAATACTGTGAGTATAGCAATAATATGACAGCAACCTAATATTATGACATAAAAGGAAAAAAGTTATATATGTAAAAAAATATGTCATAATGAAAGTTCATTGATTTCCTTCATAAAAAATAATATGAATATTTCTATCAATATAAAAAATTATTTAAAAGTAAATATTTTTTAATGAGAAAATTATTGATTTATTTAAGCAAGTATAATTTTCATGTTTCATTCATATAAAGATGTTATAAATGAATACACTCTAAGAATAATATGTTCTATGCTTTTGAAATTTAAGCGAAAAAGATCAATGAACTCAAATCTATGTACACTAATTTTCATGGATAATATTTATTTGTACAGATGGCGTATAAAGATTTATCTCGTGACTGTATAAAAAGGTAAACAAACAATGCTTAATCAATAATTAAAGAGAATTAATGCATTTTTTTGTAGATTTTATTTATTTTATACTATTAATAATTTCATATGAAACATCATTTTCGGAATTTTTATTATAATTTTTTCATAATAATAGTTAATTTCTTTTAATTTTTTAATTTAAATTATTTCACTAGATGGCAGAAATGTCGATGAATCGTGGCACCTCTAGCGGAAATATTAATGTACTAAGCAGTAAGTGATTGGTAACGAGTTGAGTGAGACAAGTGATTAAAAAATGGCATCCGCGACGACGTCGCACAATGAGGTTTCGCAGGAATTTTCTGTCAACAAACTTATTCGTGTCGGTTATTACGAATTGGAAAAAACTATTGGCAAGGGAAATTTTGCCGTTGTTAAAATGGCCACTCATGTTGTAACTAAATCAAAGGTAAGGCATTGTTAAAGTATTTTTCTCACAAACATGAAACCGTCATTTTGTCGTTATATCTTTGAATAACAACGTGAACATATAAATTATATCATATTTTATACATTATAAGAGCTTTTTATAAAATAATAATGTATCATATGTCATCATGTGAAGAAAATTTATAACTTCAAAAAATGTTTCATGGACCGATGTTACCAACAGATACTATTACATCGATTGAAATATGTTCATTACAATAATTTTTCAAATCATTATTAATGATAATAGATTTAATATCATTTCAAAATAAAAATAAAAATATTTTTATTAATGTTCATAAAAATTTATTAATTGAATTTCTACTTATATGTAGTATTTTTTTTTTTTACATTTATTTTTCTTTGTTTTTTCTTTTTGTATGTTTTTTTTATTTTTATATAGTAATTAAATCAAATAAATGTAATATTAAAAATTAATGTTGATTAGTTTTTTGATACTATTATGCAATTTATTTTTATAATAAAATACAAATTATATGAAAAAATACAACTTTTTTTTTAGTGATCATTTATGTACTTTGATAAATTTATAAATATTTTTTATTCACATATGATATATATTATTATATCTATAATATACTTAAAGTTCTTTAAGATAAAAAATTAATTATGTGAAACATACATGTTAATTATTATTTTTTTATAATTCAATTTAATTTAATTATATATATTTCTTAAAAAATATAAATTTGTAATAAATATTTTTTTTAGGTTGCTATTAAAATAATAGATAAAACAAAATTAAATGAAGAAAATCTAGCCAAAATTTTTCGTGAAGTACATATAATGAAACGATTAAGGCATCCACATATTATAAGACTATATCAAGTAATGGAAACAGAGAAAATGATATATTTAGTTACTGAATATGCTCCTGGAGGAGAAATATTTGATCATCTTGTACGAAATGGGAGAATGCCAGAACCAGAAGCAAGAAGAATTTTCCGTCAAATTGTTCTTGCTGTTCGTTATCTTCACC